ATTTTTATCAAAAAGTTAAAATTCTTATATTATTTCTATTGATTATAAAACTTCTGTTTTAATTTCAACTTAAAATAGATTTTTTTAATTAATCGAAATATTTTATGCAAATTAATTAAAAAGTTTTTAAAACTCATACGTAGAAAAATAATAAAAAATAATCATTATGATGATCATTATGATAATAATGATAGTGAAATGATAAAAAAATAATCACTATGAATAAGCAGCAGTTCAAAACATTAAACTATATTAAAAAATTATGATAAAATTCAAAACTAATATTTATTATTTATGATTAAAAACTATTTTTATTTGTTATTACTTTGTAACTTTGGTGCAAACTGATCGCCATCGATCCCGAAATTTCACTTGTAGTCTTCCTTTACGAACCGATGGACCATCAATTAATCGAAATTCTGGTGAATTTTTTAAATAATCATTGGTAACTGATAGATAAGGTAGCATTTGAATGTGAGCAAACTCATTTCCCTGGAAAAGTTTGATTTTTGTGATTTTAAAAATTTTATTCAAATTATTTTCTGCTAAAAATTTTACCAAAACATTTATAGAGCTAATTTGTCAGAAATTATATACTTGAAATTTGAGTTATTAATTTTTGAAATTACAACTGAATTCAAAAATTTGATGGCAAAGAAATTTTAATAACAATTTTTTGAAATTATATTTTCATTAATTTAATTTTAATCTGAAAGCAATCGACAACAAATAACATATAATGATTTTCTGAAGAATTTACTCGATAAGTACCGATATCATCATTGTATTATTATTGTAAAAAAAACGACGAATTGTTTTTATTGAAAAATCAAGAATAATGTGAATTATTTGTGCAAAAAGTTTTTTTCAAATGTAAGTTTAAGAAGCTTTTTAATTCGAAATATGAGTTTAAGTACCGTTTATATAAATCGTAAAAAAAGTAAAAAACTGAATTGTTAGTCTTTTTTTGATAGCTTATAATCTTATCAATTTTCAAAATATTCAAAAAGGTATGAGATCAGTAAGTACAAAGCTAAGCTGATCAATCGAAATATCATTGAGATATAAAAATATTGAATTTTTAATATTGATTGTGAAAAAATTCAAAAAAGAAATCAGGACAACAATTTACGCCTCGATATATTTCAGTATTTCAAGGCCAAGGAAAAATCAAATTTTTAAATTTCCAAACAAATCATTCAGTTTTATTCCATTCAAAAACTTTGGTGATAAAGCCTAAAACTAAAAAATAATTGCCAAAACTTTAAATGATAAACTCAAATTTAAACAAAATTTTATAACTGATATGTTTATCAATCACAGCAAAAGTGTGATATGCGATATCTGATAATTACTTGATAATTAAGATAAAATAACATAACAAATGCAATTACTAATTGATACTTAAAAATTTGAAGTTGAAAATATTTATTTCTAATCTATTAATTACAAACTAAATCATTCTATAGCTTACGAACAAGCGTATTCAATTGTTTTATTATATTTACTTATTATTCGAATTAAACTGT